GATCTCTTGACCTCGTGATCCACCCGCCTCGGCCTCCCAAAGTGCTGGGATTACAGGCTTGAGCCACCGCGCCTGGCCAAGAGTTAGTCTTAAAATGTCTGTACAGGATTCTCTTGGTCTCAATTTCTCACCCTTGAAGGTAGAGTGTTACCTTTGCTTCTGGTATAGGGAGAATGTCTTTTACATGGAAATTTCATCCTTTGCTTTAAAGAAACAGCACAAAGGTCAAAATGATTTTTTTGAAACCTTCTGTTTTCAAGCGTCTTTACATAAATAGTCAATATGCAAGAATACCGAGGAGCTTAGAAAAAGGAGAATTTAGCTTAGAGAGAGATAAAGAGGAGGAGGTGTAGGAATGGGAGAGGAAGACTCCAGACAGGAAGGAATCTCAGCTTGCTTTGAACCAGTATCTTGCAGAGAGGCAGTTTGAATCAGAATGCGCCTAGAGCTTCAAGGAACACATTGAAATATGCTGCCCGTTCAGATGGCTTAATTTTAGGCCCATGGTCTCATAATTTGGCCCTAAAAGACAATTTGGGGGAACTCAAAAGACTCCCAGTAAAGCAACGTTGTTGTCTGGGGTAAATATCCGAGGTTCATTGCCTCATGCCCAGGAAATCAAGGACACGGACACACCACATGTGGAGTGAGGTTAACAGTGGAGGTTTAATAGGCAAAAGAAAGAGAAAGGAGAACAGCTCACTCTCCTATGAAAGAGAGGGGCCCTTGAGTGGAACCTCACCGCAGCGGTGGCAGAGTATACAGGGTTTTATAGACAGGCTTGAGGAGGCGGTGCCTTATTTACATAGGGCCCAAAGATTGGTTGGATTAGGTGCAACGTTTACATACTGTGAGGAAACTGGCCACCCCACCCTAATCTTTTATTATGCAAATTTGGTCTCCACCTGGCCGGCACCTTGTTGCCTGCTCCTTACCGTGCACGTGATTGACGAGGAGAGGGGAAGGTGGAGCCACCATGTTGGACCTGCCTGGCCCCAGCCACGCTTTTCCTGTTGACACAGCTGTTACCATTCAGCCATGCAAGCTTCCAGCTTGCTTGTCTATATCGGCAGGTTGATTTTACAAGCTGCTCTTTGTTAGAAAAAAAAGTAATTTGGAGGCTGCTTTTCATTAAAAAGAAAACTTACCAAGGACTTCCTTCCCCTCACTATCTGCCTGAATAATTTCTCCTTAACTCCTATATCACCAGGAGGGCCGTGAAAGATAGAAGTAGCTTAGGTGTACTCTGTCCCTTGATTTGAAAGCACCTCCAGCCTCAGTCACTGAGCAGCAGCCAAGGACTTAGCAGCCTCCCCTCAGAGTCTTCTCACTCCCCCACGCTGTCCCCCTCACACTGCCTTCTCCTGTCACACCACTGCCTTCCACAGGCCGTCTCCACCGAAGAAAAGGAATTGTCTCGAATGTCCACTATTCGGAACCTCCAGTCTTTCCACCCCTTTGCTGATGGAAGTAAGTGATCTTACTTGCATCAGCAAAGGAGTGGAAAAACAGCAAAGGGGTGCAAAGGGGAGTGATGACCTGCTCCCTGCAGGCACTGAGGATTAGATCCATGCAAGAATTCAACAGAGAAATGACAGGAAACCCCTTGGTACTATCCAAGGGATCACTGAGGATTACAATAAAAAGCAACTAGTGAAGGCATTTAAGAGGAAATTTGTCTGCAATCGGATTGTAACTGAGCATCGAGAATATGGAGAAGTAATTCAGCGACAGGGTGACCAGTGCAAGAACTTACGCCAGTTCCATGCAGAGGTCGGACTGGCTTAGGACGATCAGCTGATGGTTCAAGGGTTTTAGGTACATGTGGCTCATGGAAACTTTAGTGAGGATTTCCATGCAATGGGTAGAATTTCCCTTCTTTCCCTTGTTACAAGTTTAAAAACCTCAGTTTGTCTAATGTAACCATTTGGAGTCTGCTTTTAACTTGGACTAGTGTAATTCCTTCAAGCAATAAACTGAAAAAATGAACATGAAAAAAATAAAAAAACATCCGGCTGGGCGAGGTTGGAGTTGTGAGCTGGGGAGTGGGCTGCGGCCGGCCCAATCGGCCCGGTGTCTACACCTATATCAGCCAGCACGGTTCCTATCTGTAATCCCAGCAGTTTGGGAGGCTGAGGCAGGAGGATCATCTGAGGTCAGAAGTTTGAAACCAGCCTGGCCAACATGGTGAAATGCTGTCTCTATTATAAATACAAAAATTAGCTGGGCATGGTGGTGGGTGCTTGTAATCCCAGCTACTCGGAAGGCTGAAGCAGGAGAATGGCTTGAACCCGGGAAGTGGAGATTGCAGTGGGCAGAGATTGTACCACTGCACTCCAGCCTGGGTGGAAGTGCAAGACTGTGTCTCAAATAAACACATACATACATACATACAGAAAAACATTGCCAAGGGAGGACAATGATTTTCAAACATGTTGCCAGCTGAAGTCCCACAAGAGGAACCATTATTGCCTACTCCTTGGGTGCTCAGAGCCTCATGTTGGGGCTGCCCCAGCTCTGGGTGGGTGGGGTGTCAAGAGAGAAATGCCCACCCTGGTGTCCTTGTCCTCAGTGGGCCAATGCTGAGGCCCCCACAGGACTGCACCTCAGTTGCCTACAGTGATAACCTCCTTGTTTGTGCAAGCTCATTGGTGTTCCTTCCTTCCCTGCCTCGGTTTCCTAACTTCCTGCAGTCACCTCCCAGATAAACTACCTGCACCCACATCCTGGTGCTAGGTCAGCCTGGGGGGTCCGTGGTAAGATCAGGATGTCTGGCATTTCTGTGCTGGATCCTTGGTGGGTGAGGAGTGTCAGGATCATTTCCTCCAATGCACACCCCCCTACTCCTGGCCTCCCAGCTCCTGGCACCCTGGAACTACTCCCGTTCCATTGCCGGGCACGACGTTCGTCTATAACTTCAGCTACTCAGGAGGGTGAGGCAGGAAGATTGAGACTAGCCTAGGAGTTCAAGACCAGCCTGGGCAACGCACAGTTCTCTTTCTGATTGAAATCACCAGATGGTTCTATTGTGCAGCACAGATGTGGGTGTGAGCCAGGGGCATGGACGGAGAATGAGCTGTCCATGAAGCCACCGCGTTTGAGAAATGCTCTGCAAGGCGTCAACTCAAATGTGTTTATTACCAAACAAGACAGAAGAGAACCAGGGCCTGACTTAGCAGTGGCCCCAGCCTGCATGGGCTCGGGTGGGCTCAGGCCGGCTGCAGGAGTGGGGGAGCCCAGAGAAGAGGGAGAAAGAGCAGCAGGCGGGAGGGGTCTGGCCGGGCCATGCCACTCTGGGCCATCAGCTTCTGAATCCACCCGAAGTGCTGGCTGATATTGGTGTAGACACCGGGCCGATTGGGCCGGCCGCAGCCCACTCCCCAGCTCACAACTCCAACCTGATACCACTTTCCGTTCTTGTCACAGGCCAGTGGTCCGCCTGAGTCACCCTGGAGAGCCAGAGGGGCATGGGGGTGAGGTCAGCCTGGGGTAGAGTGAGTGGGGCAGGGGAGAGGCTGAGAGTGGGAGGGGCTGTGGGGCTGGGTGGGCTGGGTGAACGCCCTCCTCCTCCCCCTGGCAGCAGCCAAGCCTCCGTTTCTGGGTCTGCAGAGTGGGGCCACAGTCTCCACCTCCTGGGGTTAACCTGAGGGTCCAATAAGGCACAGGGACACACGTTGCTTTCAGGCCCCAAGCTGGGAATGGTGGCAGGAACACTCACAAAGCAGGAATCCTTCCCGCCTTGGGCATCGCCAGCACAAATCATGTCTCCAAAGATGTCCATGCGGAAATCGTACTTCAGGAAGAGGTGGTTGCACATGGTGTTGTTTATGATGGCAACCTGCACTTCCTGGAGGGTGTAGGGATACGGCAGCTCTGTGGAGACGATGGGGGAAGGAGAGGGACAGCAACCTGAGGCTCCTCTAGGAAGGGATGGAATAGGCTGCGGGGGTGGGCCCTGGGGCACCCACAGCACCTGGCAGCTCATCCTCATCAGCCCCAGCTCCAGCCCAGCCCCCAGCACCGCAGAGGCTCTCAGCATCTTCATCACAGAAGGCCGGGGGGATGGACAAGCTGTCAGAGCTCTCCCCAGCCTCACTTTCCCTATCTGCAGAATGGCGACAGCGGCCCTGCCTGCGCCCATGGAAAGATTCCTTAGCCAAAAGGAGCAGGGGAAGGGAAGAAGGCAGCTGAGATGATGTTAAGATGAGCACCCAAGGCCAGACCCAGGGGCGGGGCGGGGGGTGGCACCAGCCTGGCTGCAGCCCTGCCCTCAGTAGCAGCTGGGCACGTTCAGGGCCTGGGCACAAGCTTGTCATGCACCCTTAGGGCTCCCCCAGCACCCCTGGGAGGCAGCAGTCATCAGGACTCACTCCCAGATAAGGAGAGTCAGGGGGATATCGCCCGGCAAGGCGCTAGGGAAGTCTCAGAGCCTGACAGGAGCCCACCCCTATCCAGTTCCTGCCTCTGAGTCCCAGCCAGCACCTTGTCCTGCAGAGGATGACAAAGAAGTCAAGACCCAGCCTGCAGGCAGCGCTTCCCATTGGCGGAGCCTCTCCTCAGCCCTCAGGATTAACGACCTGGGAACTAGCCTGTGATGTGGAACTATTGTTTCCCAATTTCACAGGGGAGGAAACTGAGGCACCATGAGATGAACAGCTTTGTCCGAGGCCTCACAGCCAGTCCAGGGCAGAGCAAAGGCACACACCAGGCAGAGGGCTCCAGAAATGCCTGCCCCCCGCCTCCCAGGCACTATGACTTGAGGCACAGCCTGAGGTTGGTGTGACTTGCCCACCCTGGGCCTGGGAGAGAGGGTGGCAGAGGCAGCCTGGCTATGCCCCTGGCTCACACCCACCCATCTTTGCAGCAGGGGCCCTTCTCGAGGAAGGGAAAGGACCCCTCCTCTAGAGGAAGGCGGCTCCAGTGCTGAGTTCTCTACTCCCGCTTCCAACTGCCAGGGTGTGACTTGGGGATATCCTTTACCCTCTCTAAGGCAAGGGTCCCTGACTTTTCCATTTACTAGTTCTTGGCAATTTCCATAACCCTCTCAGTTTTCTCATCTGTAAAATGGGTATAAAAATGTTGCCAACTCAATTCCTAGGTGAGTTCCAGGAGGAAGAGAGGCCTCGTCTGGCTCACTGCTGGGTCCCCAAGCCTAGAACAGTGCCAGGCACACAGTGTGTGCTCAAGGAACCTCATGTTATTGTTACTATTGTTGTGGGCCAGACCGGGGAGCAGAGGGAAGTGGATTCCTGATACAGGGAACACACTCAGTCTGGGGCTGCCGGCCCTGGGGCTCCTCCCGATGCTGGGCCCAGTTCTTTCAGGGCTTGCATGTTGGGAGACACGCAGGTGCCAGGGCAGGTCCACTGGAGGACCCCCAGAGGGGTTTCCATGGGAGCTGCAGTTGAACAAGGCTTGGAAGTTTCTAGGAGAGATGAATGGGCCCAGTGCTCCAGGAGAATTGACCAGAGCTAGGGTGGATGAAGGAGGCTTGGCGAGGCAGCCAGGGAGCCTGATGCCTGCAGCACTGGTGGGCACTAGGGGAGGTGAAAAGATCCAAGAACAAATCCAGGTCTGAGGTTTATGTCACCAAGCCCTCCAGAACCCCTCCACCACGTGCAGGCCTGCGCCAAGCTGACCCCCACAGCCCCTGGAGGGGAGAGAAATGGGTGTTTGGTCCCTACCCTGGCAGATGAGGGGAGAATGTGAGCAGGAGGGGCGTAGGCTGCCCCCAGACCAAGCATGGGGCTGTTGCACCTATGAAGGAGAACAGGCAAACAAAGATAGCTCCTCCCTGACCCGCCTGTCCCCAGCCTCACCCTCGTCCTCTTGGATGTTCCCCCAGCCGGTCACCCAGCAGTCCGTCCGGTTCTCAAACTCAAGTGTGGAGGCCAGGAGACAGATGGGCTGGATATGGTTAGTGTAGGTGACGGGTGTAGACAGCTTCAACAAGGCAATGTCATAGGGTGAATTCCCCAGGTATCGAGGGCTCAAATAGATATTCGACACGAAGTACCGGGTGTAGTAGGCCTGCAGGCTCCAGAAGGATGGTGCAGAAGTCAGCTGGCCAAACTGGACCGTCCACCCGGAGGAATCACCAAGGTCACCATACCTGGTAGACGAGAAGAGAGCAGTCAGAGACCCTGGATGGAGGGCTGCCTGCCTGAGCACACCTGGGGCCTAGCCCAGGAGGGAGACTGTGGAGTTGCTACTACTTGCTCATCCGGGGCATCATAGCAAGTCCTTCTCATGGCCCAGGGTCCACTGGAGAAATGAAAGAGCCCAGAGAGGCCACACGCAAAGTCCTTGGACCTGCTTCTAGAGCAAGAGGGTGGGGTCTTGTCACTTCCCAGAGCTGTTCCAAGGACACTTGCATTGAGCCAGGGGCCTCCAGGGGCACCCCCATGCAGCCCAAGGAGAAATGGGCAGAAGCACCCGTGGCAATGCAGCTTGGTGGAATGAAGTCCACACAGCTTCCTCAGGGAGCTGGCCTTGGCTCAGTGCCCACACCTGCATTGCAAGTCCACCAGGAGTGGGGATGAGGGTGGGATGGAAAGTGGTGAACTTTGGGTTGAAAAAAAGAGAGAGAGCATACCAAAAATGGCGTGGAAAGGTTCTGGAAGAACATTCTGGAAGAACCTGAACAGGGTTTCCTCCAGGGGAATCAAAGGGAGCTGGAATGGGTGTAACCTACTGCATCAGAGCCTAGGGCTCAGTACACCAGGTCGCATCCACGAACAACATTCACGCTCAAGTGTGGCATCAGAGCGTTGGTAACGTTAAGTGGTACTCCCCACCCCCAACCCTGCTGCTGCCCGCCTCTGCACCCCTCCGTTCGTATACCCACTCACAAGTCAAAGCAGTGCGCCGCCGTGAGCGCCCAGCGGCGGCTGAGCAGGCTCGCTCCACACACGTGGGAATCCCACAGGCGCAGGCTCCCCTGCCATGGCCAACGCCCGAGCTGGGCGTCGCCTCCACCCACGATGCGCGTCTGGATGATCCGTTGGCCGCATGGTCCTCAGATGGTCAGAGGAACTGCTGAGCTGCGGGAGGCCGCCCCCCAAGCCCAGCCTCTCCCTTTCTCTCCTTCAGCCCAGTCCGGGAAACCACGTTTTGCCCACCCAGGGTCCCCTCCGCGTGTGCAGCAGGAAGTAGATGACACGGGGGACCCTCCCACGTGGTCCGTAGGGCCCGCCCATCACCCCCAACGCCCATTAGTTGCTTTCAACACCAACAGAGTTCTCAATCTCGGGAGCCGGGGCCAGAGAGCAGTAGATGGACCCCCCATCCCCATGCATCCCGGCCCAGCGGCCCTGACAAGCATCGCGGGTCCTGGGGGCCCTACCTGACAACAGCTCCCCTTCCGGCGACGCTGTAGGAGACAAGAAGTGAGCTCCCCGCGGCCTCCAACTACCCAACGCCCCCCTACGCCGTCCTGCCAGCCACGCCCCGAGCTCACCCGGCTTCCCGAGTCCCTCCCGCGCCAGCAGCAGCGCCAGCAGAAGCGCCCCTCGAGGGCCCATGGCCTCCTCTCTCGCGGCCTGGCGCCCCCTCTGCCTCCTCCCGCGTCGCGCCTGGGGCGCCCCCTGGGGGCGGGGCGGTGGGAGCTCTGCCCGCCCCCCCCCGCCCCTGCTTCACCCGCCCTCGGCCCAAGGGCTGTTTAGGGACCCTCAGGCCTGGCAACGCCCTGGCTTTCAGCCCCTAGAGGCGGATCCGCAACCACATTCGTTGATGTGGCCCAGACTTGGTGGACAACACAGTCCCTTTTTTGTCTGCAGCCCTGAGGTCCTGGCTACCCGCTTGGTGCCCCCTCTCCTCCACCCATGACCTCCTCCAGCATCAAGGGCCTGGCCCTAAGCCAGGAGTCCCCTTAAAGCCTGGGGGCCCCCGAGGGCCAGGTGGGGCCTGGCAGCATTGCTGGTCCTGCACAGGACTTTCTTGGGAAAACAATGGTCCTGGGCCCCTTCCTCCCAGAACGGGGATGGCCAGTCCCCACCTGCCCAGGCCGACCCCATTGAGGGCTCCAGCTGGGTTCTCCTCCCTCCTCCAAAACGAATCTTTTTTTTTCTTTTTTTTTTTTTTTTT